TAAGATTCAAAAACACAAAAATAAACACATTAAATTTAAGAAACTCACTGTAAATTATCTCAGCTTACATTGATTAACATCAGCTTTGTGTGAAAATTAAATATATATAATTTTTGTTTGTTTATTCACTACTAGGTGCACAAATAGACACAACGCATTTTCTATTTATGCACCTAGTAGTGAAGAAACAAACAAATAAAGGAAGACACAGTCTCGGAAATACATACATATACATAATTACTTGTCCTGACTGACTGACTGATTCATTATCGTCTGGAGCAAACCTCTGAACCTAGAGGTGAAATTTTGTACATAGTTAGGGTATGTCACACTAAAAAGGGATTTTTCGAAATTCTCCCATGGAGGAGAGGGAAAGGATTAAGGCTTAACCCAAAGAACAGCTTCTACTGTACTATTTTAGATGTGGTTTTTTGTTTTTAACTATGCTTTAGTAGGGTACACCATGAAAATGCACACTAAGAAGTGATGCAATTTTTTGTTTTCAATAGTGTTGAAATGAATAGTATATTTGGCCTCGGGCCGAATATTTGGCCAAACTGTTCGGCTTGATTAACACACGTATGAAAATTGGTGCGCAAACTGCAAGGACCCTGCTCTCTAATTGCCCACGGTCACTACACTTTGCCAATCGCGTTAATTCTTGACAGTTGTAGCGGAAAGACAAGAGCGTCATGGTAGTATCTGATAAATGATGATATCAGATGTAGATAACAACAAACTGACCTACATGTGTAAATAACGGAAAAAGAACAGAGAAGGACTGCGAAGTGAAAATGTGAAAATAAATATGAAATTGAGTTGATAATATAATCAAACAAGTCGAGGCAACTTATTGGCATGAAATTCACAACCGTCAATGCCAAACTAATGTTGTCAGAGACTTCAGAAAGCTAAATGCTTGTAATGAAAGTCACTTAGCGTGTATGAGTGAAACCCTGGGGCCGTTTGGGCTACCAAGCTGTCTCGAATCTGTCACTTATACCAACATCCTATTTGTCTCTTTTCTCCATTATCACCAGGCTATGAGTCAGGTAACTGTAAAATGGGAAATCTATGATGGAAAAGTGACGAATCAAATGTATCGTGAGCACGTATTATGATGTATGCATAGGCATACATGGACTAGAGCAATAGAGGAAACAGAAAGGGAAGAGCAAAGACGAGCACTTAAGGATAGACAGGGTCAGACCCTCAGATGTGGGACGTACACATGTACATGACACGGCACGTACACACCTATTCGTTGGAGAATAGGTGTGTACGTGTGCTGATTTTTGTAATTATAAATTGTGAATATATGTGACTATTATTATTTTCTTTTTTATTTTGTGCATATTATAAGTTATAAATAAGTATAAACAAACAACACTAACCCGATAACATTAAATCTAAATACCAAAATGATTAATGTGTTTTTGTTATTTCTTACTCCTGTTTTTAGGTATTCAGCCGAATACCAAATAGTAACTGAATATTCGTTACATCACTAGTTTTCATTGAGTATTTAGGTGTATTAAATTAATAATATTTCAGACGTTGTTATACATATTTTTATATATTTTGATTTTTTTAACCAAATGTTTGAACCGTTTTAAATTCGAATTTGTTATTGCATATTGGTTTGATTATAGAATGATTGTAAACGTTCCAGAAAATTGATCAAATTGAAAATAGTTCATTTGATTCTCAGCAATCGGTTTTATATAACGATTACTATGGTTGTTGAAATACTGAATATAAATGGGGTTTGCTTGCAAAATATGCACAGGCAAAGTCACAGATAACAGCTAGTTTGTGATAAAGGTGCTGCTGCTGTTACTGCTATTACCACTACCAATAAGTCCTTAATTGTTTTATTGTCTTAAAACCAGGAAGTGTTTTTGTTTACAAGTCAGTCAAATTACAATGTTGTTATTTTGTACTAGGAAGAATGTTTTCTTTGATGTTTAATTAACAACTAGTTCTTTTTATATTTTAGTTGTAGTTTAACTGGCATGCTGGTAATTCTGGGGTTACCAGCATGCCAATTTCCTGTTTATATGTGGCATGCCAGTCATTCCCCAAAAATAAAGTACGAAGTGTTTGTTTTATAACAACAAAACAAAACTGCACCTTAAAAATATCTGAAAAATAATTCATTACATTTTACTAAACACAGGTTTTTGAATTTAGTCTGAAATACTAGAATCAGGCAATGAAACAAACAGAAAACACATCACAGAAAATTACTGAAAAACCTTTTTTTCCTGTACTTTACATATTTTATTTAAAGAAAGCAACAATATTATAAGCTTATTTTTATTTGCACTACATTGTACATATTTTAATAGAAAAGTTTATGTAGTTGCAATTTTTTACTATTGACAATTCAAACAATATAATCATCATCCATGAAATAAATCGGATATAAATTTAATAATAATAATAACAACAGCCATCAGTGTGAACCGAGTATAACCCACTAAACCCAACACAATAATAATAATAATGACACTAATCAATGAATGGAAACTTGTTACACTGCATACAACATAACTGATATTAAAAAGGATTTGTTAAAAATATTAAAAACTGAAACAAATACAATAAAATGGAAATTGTAGAAACATTTAGAAATTATAAAAATACACCATAGCGTAAGAATAAATGATAACAGAAAAATACAATTAGATCCCACCTGGCATCCTTACTTAAATATCTAACAATTAAACAGTTGGTAATACTTAACACCAATAGAAAACTAGTCTTAAGTAACATCACCTTAGTAGTAGAAAACATCAATGTGTGACTTGACAGTTTTAAGATAGATAGGAATAAATTTAAAAAAACCTTGTTTCTTTTTTTAAGTGTACTTTCATTTACAACTTTGAACTTAAATTCATAGATTAATTATTTTTGTCTTTAATTCATCAAACAACAATTATAATCTCTGAAGATATTTATATAGTATACAAATAAAATATCTAAGAATCCAAACAAAGGAAGGCAACCACATTTGTTAACAAACAGCATGTATTCATTAAGTATGTATTATTTTTAAAATTAACTTAATTATTATTTATGTTGTTTATAAACCTCATATTTTATACCTGTTACTCACAATATGTAACAAGCACAACTTAAGAGGATACAAAATGTACAGTTTCACTATAAATAACCAGTGTTCGTCCATCTTTGTGTGATTTCTCCTGCTAAATCAATAGTGTGCGATAAATCCTCCATAGAGACAAAACTTAGTGATCACATGTTCAATTATTTTAATAATTCAATTATTGTAATCACATGTTCAATTATTGTATAAGGACAAAAAGCACACCGTGAACAAAATGGAAACTTAATTAAAATTCTGCATGAAGTAACAAACTGATAAACAGTTACATAGTTGATGACTAATCAATATAAACAAAGCATAAACAATTTTCCAACTTTTCTTTGTAGGCTAGTACAAAAGGATATAACTGCCTTGCCACCAGATATGTACTGTACAGTACATGTATCCCTTGCACAACACAGCACTTCTACACCATGGTTTAAAAACTGGGAAAATCCCCCATACAACATGGTTTCCAATTCTGCACTAACATAACTCAAGAATTTGGGAAATCCCTCATACAAAATTTCACAACTTTTAAGTGCAAACTATTATTCAATATTTTTTTTATTCAAGTAATGATACTTCTTGTTTCAAATTTGCTCACTAATTTTAGAATATTGAAATTTTTCATTTCTTTTGTGCCTTTCATCAGGTTTACTTTAATGAAAACTGAGATTGCAATTTTTGCCTTCCTTGTTCTAGTTTTCCATCAACTGGATGTTGTCGTCATTGCTTTCAGACTTTAGCCTTTAAGACTCATTATACTTTTTTTTTTACAAATTAATCTTCATATTTAGTAAAATTTATTTAAACATTTTTAGGCAAGTGTTTTTTAAACAATAGATAAGCAATCATTTGTAAAAAAACATGTACTTGACTGAGCAAATGTTACCTGCTAGATTAATTTTTTCATTAATAACATTTTTACTTTGTCATCTATAAAAAAATTTTATGATAAAAATAAAAAATATTGCTAATATTTCTGATTGAGAACAACAATAAAGCTCAGATGAGAATATTATTTTGTAAAAAGAAAATGCCCTCATTTAACTAAAATAATAGTAACATATAATACAATATTTTTAAATTGTGATTGTTAGTTAATTATTGATTAGAAACAAATTATAATGCTTTAATCAACATACTTCTCTTAGTAACAAAAATGAATAGTATACTTTTGCTAATATTTCTGATTGAGAACAACAATAAAGCTCAGATGAGAATATTATTTTGTAAAAAGAAAATGCCCTCATTTAACTAAAATAATAGTAACATATAATACAATATTTTTAAATTGTGATTGTTAGTTAATTATTGATTAGAAACAAATTATTGAATGCTTTAATCAACATACTTCTCTTAGTAACAAAAAACAATAGTATACTTTTGTTAACTTTTAGAACCTAACCCAATGTTTTCCACTAGCCCTTTGTTTCATATAGCCCGGATTCACATAACAGAGCACTTTTTCAGAATGTAACATGTCATACGAGGGATACCTGTATGTCTCAAGGGCAGGTGCATACCATTCTTGTAATAACCTACAAAAAAGGTCAGGTCAGAAGAGGTTTATACTTTATTTCTTAACTGATCAACAACTATGTAACTGTTTATCAGGTTTGTCAGTTTGTGCCTCATACAACATTTTAATCTATGACTATATGGCCAGTGTTTTTATAAAATGGAAACTATTGAATTTTAAATCTATTACAAGCAAAATCAATATCGATGGCTGACTGTTTAATAAATACAACATGTAACATATTTAAACAAGTCAATGTATTTAAGTAATATTAGATGTGCATTTAAGCATTTTTGAAAGTAGGTATAATATATGTACTTAATCTAATTACAAAAAATATTTTAAGCAAAAAATTTTACTTACAGGTTCTTTTTTTAAATGTACTATCTCAGGTACCTCTGCTCTATATCTGGATGAATTACCTTCCTGTTTAATTGAAGAAGTAGAAGAATTTGAACTAGATGAAGATCCTGAAGATGAACGAGATTTTTTCCTGTAACATAAACATAATATTAATTGATAACAGTTATGTCAATATTATAATCATCCCATAATTTACTATACTTTGTTACATTTAAAGTATTATTACTGTACTTGAAAAGTTACTGAAATGAAATTTTCAGTAACTTTCCAAGTACATTCAAAATAAGAGTGATGAATTTTCAAATAATTGCTCTTAAATATGTATAACAGCAAATAAATTATTTTATTGCACTTAAAATTATACATAAAACATGCAAAACATGAAAATTATAGAAAATTTGAATCAGTCACTTTCAGAATATGATCCATCAGTTTAATAGTTTACAAAAAAGAAAAACATTGTACTTGCAAAAACACAGTCATTCTGTATAATAAATATCAAAAACTATCTATTAACTTTTACTAATCACAGATTTATAAATAAAAATAGAAAATACACAAAATACCAAATTTAGGTACAAAAAAAAAAAGGGAAAATTATCAAAAAAGTGCTAAGGAGGAAAAAAGTAATTAACACCACCCCGCTAAATGATTGTAAACTTAATAAAGACCCATCCTATATTACTTTAAACTGTTCTCTGTGCAAACAACAAAAAGGGGAAATACCTCAACTTCCCAACTTTTGCCATTAACACTTTAGTTATAATAAAAGCTTTTTGAATTATGAAAAAATGCCAAATGGTAATAAAACTGCAACTGACATGAAAAGTACAAAGAAAAATGCCACCAAGTGGAATGTATTTAATAAAAAACTAAAGAAAACTTGTTCTTGATCTTATCACACACAACATTTTTAGTTATTATTCTACTCTTTTTTTCCCTTCTATTTTTTTGTTCTAACTTAAATGCATACTTTTTAAAATTGTATAACAATGAATACTTTATCATCAAACTCTAAAAAGTAATTTTATAATTTAGTTAAAATACATCAATTGCCAATTTTCATAACAAACAATCCAATTGTTTTCTGCAAGAAACTTATATACCGTATTAGCCCGAATATAACGCAACTCCAAAATTTTCATAAAGATACTTAGAAAAAAAATAATACTCATAAAAGAATTCAAAGAAAGTAAAATTCAATCAGATAAGCATTTATTTATGTAATTACAGTAGAGCGTCGTTTATCCNAAATTGGGGACACCCCCTTACAACACATCCTCTGGTTTCACTCTAATATGGTTTTGGAAATCCTCCATACAAAATTTCACAAGTTTTAAGTGTAAACTTAATTATTCAATTTTTTTTTTCATTCAAGCAAGTTATATCAAATTTGCCCAGGGATTTTAGAATATTGAAATTTTTAATTTGTTTTATGCCTTTCATCAAGTTCACTTTAATGAAAACGGATAGTAGTATTTTTTCTTCCTCATCCTAACTTTATCAACCAGGTATCATTGTTGTTGCTTTCAGACTTTAGCCCTTAAGACTGTCACTGCATTTTGTTTTTATAGATTAATCTTCATATTTAGTAAAGTTAATATAAACTTACCTAAAAAGTTTAAACTTCTTTAACTGTAGGTAAGTAATCATTTGAAAAAATACGACAATATCTCAATACTCAAACTGTTCTCAACTCCAACAATTTAGCACAAATTCTGGAAAACTTATCAATTGGTACTTGACTGAACAAACTAATTGATTAATCATATTTTATTTTGTCATTCATAGAAAATTATGATAAAAATAAAAAAATGAAGATGTTGCTGTTATTTTTGATCAAGATCAACAAAAAGTTCAGATGATAAAAATACTTTGAAAAAAGCAAATGTCCTCATTTAAGTAAAATTAATATTAACAGTACTTTTAATTGTGCTTGTTAGTTAATTATTGATGAGAATTAAAGTATTGATTGCTTTAATAGACATATTTCTCTTAGTAATGAAAACGAATAGTATACTTTTGTTAACTTCTGAAACTCCTAATCACATGTTTTGCATTAGTCGTTTGTTTCGTATAGCCCAGATTCACATAACATGGCACTTTTTTCGAACGTATCTACCGTGTTATACGAGGAATACCTGCACTTACAACATTTGTAGTGTTTTAACAAATTTAATGAAACTGACTTTGAGTAACAAAATTTTCTATTTTGCTGCTTTGTGATGCAGTTAAGTCAGAAAGTGACACCATGCATCATGAAGGGGAAGAACTTAAATGCATAAACAAAATTTAAACTTTAAATGAAACATTTTTGTTTTGCCTTTAACTTTCTAATGTGGAGATATTGATATCATTTGCCATCAGAAGTGTTACAACTTGTAACTGGATAAATATAGTGAAACATATATTGAACACTAACAGATATACTGGAAATCCAATCCTTTGATAAAAGTGTGTTGTCATTATTACCATTTCTGATGATGTAAAAATACTAGTAATGAACATGAACTCAGAATGGATATTCTTGAAATTTCAAGAGTTTAACTGTTCTTTAAAAATCCTTTTAAGAATTATTTTAACAGTTCTTTTTTGGAAGTGAAATGTTTAAAACAAGAGTAGCTGAATCAATAAAAGTGTTTTGTAAATAATATTTGAAGTGTAAATCATTAAAAAAAATCAACAAAAATATAAAAATAATAAAACTGAATTACAAATATTTAGAAATTATAGATTTATAATAAGGATTAATCAATTTGCCAAAAAACGCTATATATATATGTGTATTACCATTTAAAAAACTTTCTCAAAACACTAGCTAAAGGTTCTGATTCATTTTAGCATCAAATGATTAGATGTGTTGTCATGTCACAATTTCCTTCTACAAGTGTAACTAACTGTTCATCAAAAACAACCTTAAAAGCTCATCTTTTGTTGAAGAGACTATAGGCTTGGATTCCACAAGTTTCCTGTAAATTTCAGCAGAAATTTTTCCATTACTCCTGCATTGCCATTCCAAGGTTAAACTGGGAGGAAGGGCATTATGGAGATCAGTTTTGGCATTCTACTTCATATGATCTCCTCTGTTGCATTTTATAATTGTATTATGAAATTATAATTATTAAAATGAATAACAACAAATAACAATTTAAATTAAATGTATCATTTTTTGTACTTTGTTATTTTTTTTAATGACTTCATTAAAACACCTACCCTCAAACTGTGTGTGTTAATGGTAACTGTGAGATTCGGAGAGTTGAAATATTTCAAAATTTTTTTTTATCAGTGTTAGATTATTAAGAATATTATAGACTTTTCTCTCAAATTCATAATACTGCATAATTAATATAGCTGTTTTAAAATTTACAAACAACAATTGATATTGTTGTAAAGTAAATGTTATGTATGGAACTTAGTTTGATCCTCTGGTGTTTTGCAATGATCTCCTCTGTTGCATTTTATAATTATTCTTCACATAAACAAGCAATATTAATTTTAAAATTAATCCGCACTATCAGTAAAAGATGTAAATGTCTGCAATAATTGTCTGAACATTAAACAAAATAAAAACACACAAAGTGATCACAATATATAAGATCTGATTTTGAATGATTTTAAAATACAATCTTACAATGCAATAGAATAATAAGTCTTGTATGTAATAAGACTTATTAAATCTAAAAGTAAAAATTAAAATTAGCTCATTTGATATGGTTGTGCAAGATTTAAAGAACTGCTTAAAAACATTATCTTTATGTATAGTAACAAAACAAAAACTGATGAGTAGCATTAGTGTATTCTTTACATTTCTATTATGCACATCCCACTGATTAATGTCAAAATTTAACTGTAATAGTTTTAATATTCTTATTAACAGTGCATATTTAAATTGTGAGAGAAAAACTTAATACAATGTTTGGAAAATTTAAATAACTACAGTAGAGCATCGATTGTCCGACTCAATTGGGGACTGGGGTTGGTCGGATAACTGAAAAACGAATAACTGAAAAATATGAAAAAATATATTATTAGTATAGTATAGTAGTATATCTCATGTAATTAGTATATTAGTATATCACTATTAACCTACTTCGCATTGAATTTTCATCGATATTAAACCTAACAAAATTTTTTTTAAAATAATAATCGTCGCTATTGTATCGTTAAAAATTAGAAAATTAAGCCTCATTTAAATACTGGCTCCCTTTCATGGTCGAGTCATGTTGCCAGCTAAAACATGTAAAAATACTATTAAAGTAGCCAAGATATAGCCAAATATTGTAGCGCCACATCACTAGCGGACATTTGAATTTGCCGACTAGAACGGTCAGTTAACCGATGTGACAGTTAATCGGGGGTCGGATAATCGATGATCTACTGTATATGCCTTTAAATATAAAACACCTCAATGGCATGCATTAACCTAGTGTTTCTCAAACTTCACCTTCTGGTAGGGTTAATATATTTTTTCGTACATAATTGGTTATCCGAAAAATAAGTTATCCGAACCACCCCAGTCCCCAATTGATTCGGATAAACGACGCTCTACTGTATTTGATTAAGTAACAAAGAACTAAACA